TTATCATTTTACTACTTGACGCCTGTATTAAACGGAGGACCGATTACGAAAACTTGCCGAGTATGTACTTTGGAATAACTAGTTGTTGTTACACGCGACGAGCCTAACTAGTTATTCTTGCGAACTTCTACTCGTCGTTTCTCTCCGTGTAATCCACGCTTTAAGCTTGTTTTACTGTAATCCTTTTTAACAAATATTATACATGAGTAATGTACACAGGATCCTATAACTACATAATGCTCATACTAGTATTACAACGAATAGAATACCATCTTCACATATCTTCATTCTATATTTTGTCATGTCATGGAGGGGGCGAGGGGGTTCACGCTGGAGATCGTTAACGTTGCTTTTTCTTCTCTATTATGAAAAAAAAAAAAGGAAAAAAATAATGATATACGGGAATGCAGGGGATTAAGCGAATAACAAGGAGAAAAAAAGAAAATTATCGGCCGGCTAAGGACGGAGAAACATGGTGTGCAACCAAAAGAAGAAAGAAAAAAAAAAAAGAACGACTCGGAGGATCAAGGATAATCGTTTTCTAGTACAAACGAACGAATCGTAATTTAAGTAACTACTAGTAGCGTCTATTTTTCAGAGATAACTTATATAAGTTGTATCGTTTACGAATCACACCGTTATGTGTGATCACACGCAAACATGACGCACGCCTAAAGAAAGAAAGAAAAAAAAAAGGAAACGTTGTATCTCGTTCTTATTGCATACATCAAACGAGAAATGGTTCTTTGACTTATGTTTAACAGTAGCTTAATCCCTGTATAATTTGTTCGAAGCAAATGCATTTCATATGTGTCTGAATCGTTGTCTCATTATATTACCTTCAAATTTTAGTCACCTCGTCGTTTTTCAGCCTTTTTATTATCATTGTTTCGTCGAAAGAACGCAAAGAACGTTTCTCCTGATATCCAAAGCGTGACGATCTATAGATCAACGATTTCACGAAGATGGAAACTCTTGCACCGTCGAATATTAGATAAAATGTCCGAATGTTTGATTCTTTTGTTGCTCGTTTAAACGATTGTAGAATTCTGTCGTGTATACTTTGTCAATTTGTTTGTGTATATAAGTAATTTTTTCCAGTCTGTCAAAAAGTGAACGCGATAGTCACGAAACGATCAGCGTACTCTATCACCGCCAATTTCTTCTGCCCAATTTGTAAATATCTCTTGTATCGCGTTGATAGATCAAAAGTGTATCGACTGCCTGCTGCACTATTTTCTTTTTTTTTTTTTTTTTTTTTTTTTTTTTTTTTTTTTTTTTTTTTTTTTTTTTTTTTTTTTTTTTTTTTTTTTTTTTTTTTTTTTTTTTTTTTTTTTTTTTTTTTTTTTTTTTTTTTTTTTGCTTGTTTGTTTGTTTTCCTTTCTTGTTGTTTCTATTTTATTCTTTAACGCGTTCAATACCGACAACAAAGAGAAATTTGCAATCCAACGAGATGACGATGCGTTACACAGTGTAGATTTTTTCACTTGGATATATCCGTACCGGTAAAAAATCATATTTCCTAATCCGCTCCCTAAAACGAACCGTTACATATTTAAATTAGGGACTAAGCTATGATTCGAGTTTCAAAGGAAATCTGAGCGTTCCGACACGCCATTCGGATGCGTTGCTTTGTTTATTATTCTTCTTATTATTATTGATTATTATTAGTTATTATTGTCATTATTGTATTTCTACTTTGTACGAGATCAATATTTGCTATTGGTAATTCAATTGATTATTAATTTTAACGCTTCTATATGTATATTAAAAATAAGCGTTCAACAAGTAACGTGTCGCGATGAATCGATCGTTGGTTTTTCAACCTGTCACGTTTCCCTTATCAGGAGACGTTGATTCAATTGATCAGAAGCAAATTACGAAAAGCAGAGAGAGAGAGAGAGAGAGAGAGAGAGAGAGAGAAGAAATTAAAAGAAACGCGAGGCATACAAATCGACAGCAATGTTACATATTAATAGGGAAAAAAGAAATGTGACCGTGTTGTCATGATTGAGAAATATACGCAACAAATTGTTCATAATAAATTGTTTTCTATCATGTGAATACTGACATACATACATACATGTATACGTCGCATATGTACATATATATATGCGCGCGTGCGTGTGTGTGTATGAGTGTATATATATATACCGCGTGTCTCAACAATAAAAAAAATTGTTATACATATTACAGACCAATGTACGTATGTCATTATTTCGGTACACGATCAATGCGTGCGGAGATATTCTCGTTTTTCTGCAGCGTGTACATGTTCACTCGTTGTACATATTTATATGGTACTTTAAATAACAAATCCATACCATGTTGATTTTTACATTGTTCTTCTATATATATACATATCAATTCAGTGACTTTTTTCGTAGAAACGACAGTTTATTTGCACAGTTCACAACGTATCGGAACGTTCGAACTTGGCATTAAAAAGCAAAAGATCCGGGAGGTGTTTATTTTCGTTTAAGGAATATTGCTTGGGCTGTAGAAGTAGCGATCAATCGAGGACCCGTACTTGTCAAGATTTCGACGAATTGAACTCTCCCCGTTTCTCCAGAGTATGAAGACGCACGATGTTCGACAATGTTCGTGCCACGTGGGCCTTTGTGATACGACTGGTTCGATTGTTCGAGTTAGAATCGTCCATCCAAAATTTCGGCGGTATCTTCGGTCGCGTGTAAACCGGCGCCTCGTTACACGTCACTTGGAAATCTGCGGAGGAGAGAAAGTGCTTCTATACTTCACTCTCGAGCTATCCTAACGTACGTCTCACCTCGTGGGCTTAAAAGTTACTCGTTTTCGAGTCGGTAAATACAAAAGCATCGTCGAACACTTTACCCTGCGGTAAACAGGCTCCGTTTAGTTAGCTTCGAAAGTAGAAGAACCAGCGAGATACCACGAAAACGTTAACTACTTTACTTGCTTTCAGGCAGAACTGCGACTGATTCGTCCACGGTTCGTATCTCGTCTCCATGCCAGGATGCTGATGAAGATGACACTTGTGCCTGCAAGTACTCGCGCTCTTGCTCACGTTCTCCATGTAACCGAGCCTTCCGTACAGTCCGTACTTCTTTTCGTCGATAGCTCGCAACGTACCGTTCTTCTTCATCGCCATGTAGATCTGCTCCAGCATGCCGTAGCTCTTGATCAGGAAATCTCGTTGCGCCAGCGACGTGACGCGTTCCCTTTCCTCGGACTCGCAAATAATCTCCGGCTCGAACGAGTGCACGGTATTAACAGCGGAAGTGGCCTGCTTCTTCGTCTACGCGATTCGAGACATGGTTTCGTTAAAATCCGCTAATTGCTATTTGAAAATTGCTAATTGAAAAACTGACGTTCGATAGAGACGGAATTTTCTTCGGTACAGGCGCAGTTTTGCTCTTCTCTTGATCGTTCGTCGTTGCAAACTTGTGGCTCGTGTTTGGACTCTCCGGATGCAACTTGGGATCGCTCCATTTACCGAAGACCTTCTTGCTCTCTTGCTCCTTAATTTTCATCTGTAAACATTGAATCGAATATACGTTTCTATCAAGTATGTTTTAGGTGAGCAGACGAAGCACCTCGTTCTCTTCCTTTTGGATCCTCGACGCTTCTTCGCGTGCCCTGGACGCTGCCGTGTCCTGATACACGGAAATGCTAGTTTGCCTGAAAAACGGCTCGTACTTTTCACTTTCCGCGCATGGATAGATTCTGCGGAAATTGCCCATGTGCTCGTCTTCCCATTTAAATTGCTTCTGCAAGTAATCCTCCTCCGGCTTATCGGGTTTCGTCACACAGATCGTCGAATCGTTCGTGCTAGGTCGAACGAACGTCGATAACTTAAATCAGCTCGTCGTCCGACATATTCGTTAATTTACCTGCCGTCCTTAGAATTGATTCCCTGAAGTAGCCTGTCCCTAACACGCTTCCTGTCTTCTTCGATGATTTTCTTCTTGTCGCACTGTTGCAAATTCAACATCTCGAATGTGTTCGTCAACAGACCCTCCTTTATGTCTTTGTCTATTTGCGCGTCTGTGTGAAAACTCGGTGAATGATTAACCTGAAATACAGTTCCTTCTATTACCATGCTACGTTTATTACCTACGTTTCCGTAATCTTTACTTCGAGGAGATACGGCTTCAGTTTCCAATCGAGCAACACGTCGAAGCCCAACAATTCGAAACACGCGTACGTCTTATCGTGAGTGGGAAAACAAGTGTGATAACTGTGCTTCAGAATTGGATACGCTGCGAGGATCGTTTTTATAATAACTTGGTCGATCTTCTGCCACAGCTCGTCCACGTCAACCTCTTTCATCTTGAGCCACTTGTTCAACGTGGATATTTTCCTGCGTTGAAAAAATTCGTGTCGCGTTGGAGAAATTTCGAAAAATTTCGAAAAATTTCGAAAGAATCGATGAAAAATTCGACCACGCACACCTTTTACTACCGACTTCATCGTCGATCACGTACATCCGACTGTGCTTATTAACGGCGTAATTGGTCAAGTGCATGAACACGTTGGACGTGTTGTGGCCGGTCGGTTCCTTGTATCTGCTCGTGGCAAACCTGAAACGTCTCGTAAGAAGTGCAGGTTAGCCAATTAAGAGGGAAAGAAGAATGTCGTTACCTGGCAAGGCCGTCGTTGAAGACGTAAATCCTAAGGGGGTCGCAGGAGGTGATCAACGCGTAGATACGAAGATCGAATTTGTAGCCGTCCACCAGAAAGGGCTGCAGGCACGAAATGAAGAATGAAAAGGGACGGTTAAGTGTTAAAAAATGCTTGCGTACCCTGGCCACGTAAACTTGACAAATCATGCGCTCGGTGGGTTTAACGTCCTTCAAGTTCCTCGTCAGATAAATTCCGCGCCCTTGGCAGCCTGTGTCGGGCTTGATGATAAAAGTTTTCGATCGTCTCAGTTTCGCGTAGGCTATTGCCTCTCCGTGACTGAAAAATGGTTCGGTCCGCGAGTAAGAAATACGATCCACCTTTTGTAGAAACAGAATTGAACGCTTACTCCGCGGGGAAACACCAAGTCTTGGGAAAGAAATTGTAGTCTCTTGGGAAAAGCTTGAGCATACGATTCAAGTTCCTCGCTAGTAAATCCTTTCGACAGATCTCCGTCATCCCAGGAAAATGATTCACCTTCTGGTATCTCTTCATATCCTTCGCTCGTTCCACGCTCACGCTCAAATCCGTCCAGTAGAGGTTCCAGCTGCTGTCCTCGGTCACTTCCTTCATCCCGTAACGAGCCGCTACTCGCCTCACCGCGTCGTACTTGCAGTTGCTCGTGCATATCGTCAAGTATCTGTAAACGTAACCGGTGGAACACATTTTTAAGAAATTCTTAATCGTGTTAATACTGTTCCAAACGAGTTCTACCTTCGCTTCTTCTTCTTCTTTGTCGTCTTCGTGGAAGTTCCGTCTTTCCGCGAGTCCACGTCGGTGTCGACGAACGACAAGTCTGCTGCGAATCGGAGGTAACGTGAAAGAAATGGTAGACGAAACGGTGCGTAAGGTTAGAAACACGATACCTTTGTCGTCCCTTTGGTCCGCGAAGCACTTATTGTTAGAGGAGATCGATCCTCGATCATTTTTAGCGGAATCGATAAACGGACCGATGTTGGAGAAAGCGTCGGATACCACGATTTTCTCACAGCGGTGTCTGTACACGGTTTTACATGATCGCACTTCGATACTGGAATCAGATTCGCCGGTGATCTCACCGTTCTTCGGGTAATTCTTCTTGGTCTCGCTAGGCTCGAGCTCGCGCACCACCATCAAACGACGTTTGTTGTTGCGATCGACTACGTTCATGACCGGCGTATCTCATTATTTTAAACGATCCGTCGTCGCACCTCGTCAATTTGGTCATACGTCAAGCCAGACGCGCATTATACTTGGGTATCGTGCTTCGTGCGAACGCGAAATCTCCAACTGACCACTTAACCGCTTAATCCTCGGTGAATAAAAGTGAAGTAGACTGTGATCAATTTATCGGCGTAGAAAGAACCGAAAACCGGTGCTATTTAGTTTTTGCCCTTTCCGAAATAATTCCTCGCGTTTCGCGCAACGCCCCTCACCTCAATTGTTTTTCCATTTCGAGGGAAGGAAGAGGAGGGCGAACTCGTCGGAGAAACTTCATTTTCGCCCTATCTACATACTCGAATTGAAATTTACGTCA